GTGGGGTCTCAGACCACACTGGGGGGACTATAGACCCCACCAATGCTTCTCTCAAAGGTTGCTTTCTTTACCCAGAAAGGCTACCCAGTTTCTTTCTTACACTGGAATGTTCCCAGAGAGAATGTCTCTCCTGTCACAAGTATTTTTCCCTCCAAGTCTTCAGAGACTAGATGTTTTTCGCCAGAGAGTGATCCTGCAGTAAGTAAAAGGTTCCCAGAGAGACTATCTCCTGCCACAAGTGTTTTTTCCTCCAAGTGTTCAGAGACTAGATGTTTTTTGCCAGAGTGTGATCCTGCAGTAAGTAGAATGTTCCCAGAGAGACTATCTCCTGCCAGAAGTATCTTTTCCTCCAAGTGTTCAGAGACTAGATGTTTTTCACCAGAGAGTGATCCTGCAGTAAGTAGAATGTTCCCAGAGAGACTATCTCCTGCCAGAAGTATCTTTTCCTCTGTGTACTGTTTTAGTGGTGTTGACTGCTTTTCCTTCCTAAAACAAAAAATACCATTTGTCACATGGCATGGCTCTCAGAGAGGAGAAGAGGGAGAGGGGGCGATACATGGGATACCATGAAGTAAGATACAGTAAACATCAGTAAAAAGTTTTAAATGAGGTCAAGAATCTACAGAGTATTCATGGAGAGGTGGGAAGGAGTAAAGAAAGGGGTTCTGGACGTGCAGAGTGATTCCTTCCACCTCTGCAGCCTCAGGATTAGGAATTGGCTTGAGATCTCCAATGCTGAGAGAGGAGATTTTGGCTGCTCTGCCTGTTTATCTGCCCGTCTGGTATCTGTGTCTGTCTTCTGTCCACCCACAGTTGGGTACCATGTGTCTTTTTTTCGGTCCATGTGTTGTCTGTCTTCTTCTTTGTGTGGCCATGTCCAGCTTCCACACGTCTGTCACCTGCTTGTTCTTCCTCTCAGTTCTGGCCAGGCCATCATGTGACTCCTCCGACACTGGCCAGATCCTCTTCCTGCTCTTGCTTCTCTGTCCCAGGCCTCCCATGTGTCCTTGAACCATCTCCTGGCCCCCTCCCTTCACAGGACTGTGATCCTCTTGCTGCCTCCCTCCCTCTCTTGTAGCCGGAGGTGTGGGCAAATTCACATTGCTTCAAAATCCTTTTACTTGGAGGTTTCCCCAAGAGTCCACTTGCTCAAAACAAGAACTGTCTGTAGTTGATGGAAAAAAAAAACAGATGGCATAAGTGGAAAGCTGTTTGGCAGGAATTTGATAAGAGATCAACACCTCACATAACAGATCAAATTAAACTATAAGGGAATACATGAATTACGTATGATAATTAAAAAAATAAAGTGATAAGTAATGAAAATTACAAATGAGAGAAATCTATAAGAGATGGAATTATAATCATTCATATTTACTCTAGCTTAGACCTATAACTCAATTTATTCATTCTGTAGCTATAGATGAAGCTCCCCCTATGTGCTGGGCACAGAGAAAGACAGGTGGCCTAATTAAGCAACCAAAAAGTATTTCTTAAGTACCTCCTGCATAACAGGTACACTGCTAGGTTTTGGAGATGCAGACACTATTAAGGACACAGTCCTGATGAGGAATGCCCTTGACAACACCTTGTATCCAGAGCCCCTAACTGACCAATCAGCCTCCAGTCCCTAACTAATAACTGACCACAATAGCACACAGTACCTACCATTGCTTACCCTGAAGTAACCTTAGAACTAATTAACATGCCAACTCTCTCAGTCAATCCTGGGTACCCTTGCCCTATAAAAGAACCACGTTCACCCTGGCTAGGGCTGCTCCTGTCTCCCTTAAGGAGAAAAGCCTGTTGCTGGGTGTGTTAAACTCTAATATATGCCCTTGCTAGACTGGGAGACGGCCTGAGAGAATACTTTCCACATGACACCTCAACACATGCCTTGCCCCCTCTACAGTCCCTAACCACTAGAAGCTTACATTCTAATGAGACCGAAAATAAATAAAAGTATATGGGAAATAAATGCAAATAAAGGAAAAGTACAAGGTAGTCTGGGAGCCAGGCCACTAGCAGCTGGAAACAAGGAAGGCTTCATGGAATAGACCGTGCTTGAACTCTGTCTGGATGGAAGTGACGGATTCTCTGAGGCCTAAGGATAGAGGGCCAGCTTCAGAATCAGGAAGCCTCAGAGTTCAAGTCCTGCTTTGGACCCAAGCTAGCAGCATGACCACAGTAAACTCATCTAACCTCTTAGTGACCCAGACAACTCTGTAAGGTCACAGACACATTCAGATGGGCTGTCAATCTTCCTGAGCAGGCAGAAAGAGGAAAGAGTGCTCGACTGGGTATGCTGTGACTTGGCCTTGCCCAAGGTCACATAACTAGTAAATGCCTGAGGCTGCGTTTGAATACAGATCTTCCTAACTCCAGGCCCAGTACTCTGACCACTGGACCACCTAGATGGAGGGATTCAGAGATTCCAGAAGACTGTTGCCAACCCATGCTCAGGAGGCTGACTTGAGGCCAGGGAAGGATAAGAAAAGAGCTCCTTCTCAGTGCACTGAAGTTCTACAAGTCCTTTCTAAATTCACCACCTACTCTGGGGAAAAGCTCTAGTTGTCCCACCTGAGTTAGGAACTCCTCAAGTAGCTTTCTGTAAGATGGGTACAAGGGTCTGGGAGTGGTACCACAGAGAATATAAACTATCTTGAATGTATGCAGCAGCAAGAGAAACTTCAACTATCCCAAGGGAAAACCTGGAAGCTGTTTGGACATTCCATTGCCTATACAGACTTCTGGGTCACAGTTCAAGGGCAGAGAGGACAACTTTCTGGCAAGAGGAAACAGGGACCCTGAGGAGCAGGATCATTTTCAGTCACAAGGGATCAGGGATCCTGAGGAACAGTATCACTAGCAGTCCAAAGGAACAGGGCCCTGAGGGGCAGTATCACTTCTGGTCAAAAGGGAGCAGGAACCCTGAGGAGCAGGATCCATTAGAGTCCCAAGGGATCAGGGGTTCTTCCTGGGTAAGGCTCAGAGCACAGACCAGGAAAGCAGTGACCAAACCTCTCCCCAAATGCATCACTTTGGAACCACCAAAAACTTTCAGACCCCCAGAGCTAGCTCTGCAAACAGCAGTGTGAAAGCCCTGAAGTTGCAGACAATCACTCCCCTCGCCCTTTCACAGACACTTGGGCTTTAGCTGAAGTATAAAATGCAATGGTAGCAATCATGATCTCAGACAAGCCAAAGCTGAAATAGTCCTAATTCAAAGGGATAGGGAGAGCAACTACATCTTGCTAAAAGGTACCATAGACAATAATATAATATCAATACTAACCAAAGATGCACCAAATGGCAGAGTATCCAACTTCTGAAAGGGAATGTTAAAGGACATGCAGAAGGACAGAGACAGTAAAACTATACCAACGGGTGACCACAACTTTCACCTCTCAGAATCAAGCAAATCTATGCATAAAATAACAAAAAAAGATGTTAAAAAGAGGAAAAGAATATCAGAAAAGTCAGATAGCATAGAAATCTGGAGAAAAGTGAATGGAAATAAAAAAGAATATAACTTTTTTCTCAGCTGTACATGATAACTTCAGAAAAAATAAACATATATTAGGGCATAAAAACCTCATCACCAAATGCAGAAAAACAGAAATAGGAAATGCACCTTTTATAGACCACAATGCAATATCATTACAGAGATGCAGAAACAGAGATTAAAAATTAATTGGAAAATAAAATACCCAATCCTAAAGAATGAGTGGATCAAAGAACAAAACATAGCATCAACCAATAATTTCATTCAAGGGAATTACAACAATGAGGCAACATATCAAAATTTGTGGGATGCTCCCAAAGCAGTACTTAGGGGAAATTTCGATCTCTAAATTCTTACATCCATAAAACAGAGAAAGAGCAGATCAAGGAACTGGGCATAAAATGTACAAAAGTAGAAAAAGAACAAATGACAAAATCTCCAATTAAACATCAAATTGGAAATCAAAGGTGAGATGAAGAAAATGTTTAAAAAGTAAAATTATAAAATAAAAGCACGTGCTGCTTTTATGAAAATACTAATAAAAACAGATAAACCTTTGGATAACTTGATTAACAAAAAGAAAGAAGAAAACCAAATTGCCAGTCTCAAAACCAAAAGTGTAAGCGTAACCAAGGAAGAGGAAATTAAAGCAACACTTAGGAGTTATTTTCCCAATCCTATGCCAGCAAAACTGACAATCTACATGAAATGGATGAATACTTACAAAAACATACACTGCCCATGTTAAAAGAAGAGGAAACAGAATACATAAATAACAATATCTTAAAAGAAAAAAATATTGAACAAGGCATAAATGCGTTTCCTAGGAAAAAATTCCCAGGACTAGATCAACTGTGAAAGTGAATTCTACCGAACATTTAAAAACATTTCATCCCACTACTACATAAACTAACTGAAACAACAGGTAAAGAAGAAGTACTATCAAATTCCTTTCATGGCACAAACATGTTTTCAATACCGAAACAAGGGCGTAGGGATTTACACATACTAATACTTATTGGAGGAGCTGTGAAATGACACATCCATTTTGGAAAGTAATTTAAAATTACGCAAAGAAGGAAAGAAAAATGCCCAAAGCCTACAAAACAAAGATTCCATTACAACCCAATGATGCCACTGATAACGAAAAGTCCATATATATTCCAAAATACTTATGACACCACTTTTTGTGGCATCTATGATTTGGAAACAGTAGATGCTCATCAACAAGACATGGAACAGGAAAGGCATGGAATACTGCTACGTACTTACTGTAAATAAGAAACGAAGTGTGTGAGAAGTACAGAGAAGTATGGAAAGGGCTTTGTGAACTGATGCAAAGTGAATTAAACAGAGCCAAGAAAACAGTGCATATACACAATAACGACAATTGAAATGGAAAGAATGACTCAGCAAAAGTTAAAAGTACCTGTAACAAGATGTTAAAGATCAAGTGGGAATGAAAAGGAAACGTGAGAAGACACCATCACCCTACCCCATTCAGGAAGTGAGAGGTCCTCAGGTGTTACACATTGCACACGTTTGCCCAAATGCATTGATCAGTTGTGCTCACTTTTCTTTTCCTTCCTAAAACAAGAAATATGATTGGTCACATGGCATGGCTCTTGAGGATGAGGGGAGGGAGAGATACATGGGATACCCTGGTGATGGCAGAAACAGAAAACACCAATAAAACAGGAGTCAAGTAACTCAAGGGTGATAATGGAGTTGGGGAAGGAGGAAAGGAAGGGGTTTGGGTTAGTGATTATCAGTAGCAGATCCAAAGATGTTACAAATCTGTGATTACGCAAACAATTCTTGTTATTGTTTAGTCCTGTCTGACTTTTCCTGCCCACATTTGGGGTTTTCTTGGCAGAGATACTGGAGTAGTTTGCCATTTCCTTCTAAAGCTCATTTGACAGATGAGGAACTGAGGGAAACAGGGTAAAGTGACTTGCCCAGAGTCACATAGCTACTAAATGTCTGAGGCCAGATTTGAACTCAAGAAGATGATTCTGCCTGACTTCAGGCCCCATAGAATACCTAGCTGCCCAGAAAACAATTTCAACTCCACTGTATCCCACCCAATCTCATGATTCCCCCAAGCCCCAGACCTCCAGACTAAGGCATGGGCAGGCAGGAAGCCCTAGGCAGGAGCATCCCTGGAGGAGAAGGCACACACAGGTCACTCTGAACATAGCCATACATACATACATCCACACACACACACACACGGACTGTCTCTTACATACACACACACACATGTTCCTATCGACAGACACAACACAGGCATAAACAAAAGTACTGATATACCCACACTTACATACATCTTCTGGGCACTAATGGGATGGTAGAGGGTCAGCTTCATGAAAAGGCTAGGGGGAAGGGAAGAGAAGAGAAGAAGAAAGTGAGGGGCTGAGGCAGGAGCAGGAGGGGGCACTTACTTCACTCACAACCACATAGGCACTAGCAGGACCTCAGGATAGGTCAATCTGGAAGATGGAGGGAAGATGGGGGTAGTGGAGGGGAGGGTGGGTGTGGAGTGGAAGGGGAGGAGAAGTGGGTGAGGGGGGACATGGAGATCTCAAACTGCTAGCCCCTCACAGCCTCCTCCAGAGTCAAAGAAGACTTACACTTAATAGAGGGTCAGAGGGGGTGGCAATATGAAATCACTGCAAGGCGGGCTAGTCTCCTAGAAGAGCAGGGGGAGGGGAGGAGGTCTCTAACATCAGGCCCAGAGCACTGGGGAGCTGCCCCCACCCTAGTCATTTCTCTCTGTCCCCATCACCCAAACTGGCTACAGAATGGGGTTGCAGCTGCATCCTCGACCTGGAAGTGGTCCTGGGGCTGGCCAGGGTCCCAGGTCCTGAGGGCAGGCTGCTGGGGCTGGGAGGGGTGGGGGGCAGCAGCTGAGCTCAGCTTGGAGTTGTTGAGGGTAGGCCCCTTTACAGAAACTGGGAGGGGGAAGACAAAGAGAGGAAGGGGAGGTTGAGGGAGGGCTGTTCTGGGCTCCACAAAAGGGAGGAGCACAGTAGCTGCAGCAGCATCTGCAAACCAGTGGCCCTTAATGGGACTTGGATTCCTCACAACCTCCAGAGCAGAGGAAGAAAGGGCTGGTGTGAGGAAGGGGCAGGGCTCAGCCTCCTTTCTCTAGGCAGGAGGAGACAAAGATCAGGACAGGCAGGGAGGGACAGGGGTCACCAAGGGAGGCAGCAGGTCTGCCCCTACTGTTCACATGTGGGTAGATGCTTATCACCTGGGGAACTGCTAAACAAAGTGTGAAACATGGTGAACATCATGGAATACTACTACCAGGCTGCAAGAAATGATGTGTGCGATGAGTACAGAGAACTACAGAAAGATCTTTGTGAACTGATGCAAAGTGAATTAAGCAGAGTAAAAAAAAGAAAAAACAAAAAGTACATACACACAGTAACTACAACAACTGACATGGAAAGAATGAGACACAAAAAATTAACCGAAATGTTAAAGATCAAGTGGGAATGAAAAGGAAACATGAGAAACACCATCACCCTACCTCAGCCAGGACTTCAGAGGTCCACAGGTGTTATACATTGCACACCTTTTCCACCTGCACCAATAAGTTGTGCTCACTTTTCTTTTCCTCCCTAAAAGAAAAAATACTCTTTATCACATGACATGGCTCTTGAGGATGGGGAGAGGGAGGGATACATGGGTTACCCTGGTGATGTAAGAAACAGAAAACAATGAAAAAGTTTAAAAAGAGGTCAAGTATCTCAGGGGTAATAATGGAGGTGGGGAAGGAAGAAAAAGGGCTTTGGGTTAGTGATTATCAGTAGCAGATCCAATCTATACTACAAATCAGGGATTCTGAAAACAATTGTTGTTCTTGTTTAGTCCCGTCTGACTCTTCCTGCCCACATTTGGGTTTTCTTGGCAAAGATACTGGAGTGGTCTGCCATTTCCTTCTGAAGTTCATTTGACAGGTGAGGAACTGAGGCAAAGAGAGTGAAGTGACTTGCTGAAGATCACACAGCTGGTAAGTGTCAGAGGCCAGGTTTGAACTCAAGGAGTTGATTCTTCCTGACTTCAGGCCCATTGGGACACCCAGCTGCCTGGAAGACAATGGAACTTGTTAAAATGTGGGAGGTTGATCAGTGGAAGGATTACTTATGCAATGTACAGAAGCAAACAAATAAAATAACTTAGAGTTTAAAAATTCAAAGATAGCAATTGGGTGGGTGGGGGAAGGGAGACTCTTTGATTAAAAAAAAAAACAAACCAGATGGGATAAGGAAAAGCAGATTGCCAGAAATGCAACAGGACATTAACACCTCATAACACCTTTCAAATTAAACTACAAGTGGATCCATGAATTAGGTAGAGGGGAGTCTGCAGCAAATTAGAGGAACAAGGAGGAAATTACTTTTCATCTATGGATAGGAGAAGAGGTTATGACAGAAGAAGCAACAGAGAATCACAGAAAATAAAATAGAGAATTCTGCTTCTATAAAGTCGAAATGTTTTTGCACAAAGATCAAATGCTGTCAAAATGGGAACAGTAATATTTAAATGAGGAAAAACATCTTTGCAGCAAAGTTCTATAAGGACTGTTGCATATGCAAGATTTAAAAGGAACTGATTCCAATTTCTAAGATTAAGAGCCATGCTCCAATAGGTCAAAGGAACAGGAGGTTTTCAAAGGAAGAAATCCAAACTATGAACAGCTTTATGACAAAATGTTCCAAATCCCTCATAATGAGAGAAGTGAATGTTAAAAAGTATCACAGAAAGTCTCCTCTTTCTGTTCCACAACAAGGTACATGGAAATGCCCCTTTCACCAGGTGCCAGTTGAAACCAGAACAAAAAATAAATATACCATTAAATTAAACAACATCAGACAAAAGAGATGATACGGAAAAGGGGAAGGGAAGATTCCTAGACTGTCTCAGAGGATCTGGCCACAGGGGGAGACCCAGCCATGGGCACCACAGGGCTGGCACCCCACTGGAGGGGAAGCCAGCAGAGAACAGTGACAACCTGCAGCTTGGGACCCACACATCCCAGGTTGTACCGTTTAGTCAGGAACTGATTTTCAACAGCCCTAGTTTTTAATTCAGGTAGTCCACATTAATTTGCAAAAAAAAAAAAATTCTAGAATAAAGACCTTGGTCAATTTCCCATGGGAACCAAACTTCCTAGACAATGAAGTCACCTCACTCCTCCCCCCCCACACAAGGGGAGACCACCTGGTTGTTTATTCTAGATTATGGGCCCAAACCTGTAGGTATTTAACTAATTGGCAGAAATTGAGCCAAGACAACCCTGTCACCATTAACCATCTTGAAGTTCTTTTGATCTCGATAAAATAAATTACCTTAAGAAATGTTGTGATGAAGTTGGCAAGAAAATTAAATATCCCGAGTGGGATGCGTTTAATAAATGGCTACTCAAAACCACAGACAGAAGTCTCTTGTAACTTGGACTTCTTTAAGGAAACTTTAAATGGAATTAAAAAGAATGGGGAAAGGGCGGAAGAGAAGATTTGTGCCCTCCAGAATGACAGTCAGAATTGTACTGCTCCATCAAAGAGTAAATCAAGGATTTCCTGCATGTAGGACCAAGTCACTTCTCCCAGAAAAGATTTATCCAGCCATCCCTGGGAAAGATTCACCCTCCTCTCTCTGAGGATGAGGAAGGCAAGCGGAGGCTCCTTCTTAGACTGTCTCCTCTCTCCCCAGTCCCCAGGCCAAGCCAAGGATGCCAGGAAGGAAGAAAGGTTGGGAAAGTCCACCTGAGGAGGGCAGGGAGGGAGTGTCCTCAAAGGCTTCTCCCTGATGCTTCCACCCACCCCATCCCTTGGCCTCCAAGGCCCAGACCTCCAGACAAAGACCTGGGCAGGCAGGATGCCCAGGCAGAAGCAGCTCTGGAGGAGCAGGCACACACAGGTACACACATGTACACACGTGATTCCTATTGTCCTACACACAATAGACACATAAAAAAGGTTTTATTCCCAAGCCCACACACATGCCCCAGGTACTAAGACAAGGAAATTTGGGATGGGGGGGAGTTGAGGCAAAGACTAAAGAGGAAAAGAAGAAATAAAGGGAGGGATGTAGAGGGACAGGAGGGGCAGGGGCAGAAAAAAGGGGGCTTACCTTATACACACCCACTTAGGAAAGTGTAGGAACTTCTGGGTTCCCTGGGTGAGGAAGGGGTGTTGTGGCAGAGGAGGAGGGGAGCAGGTTAGGGCTGGGCTGCTCATGGCCCTCCTCCAGACTTAGAGGAAAAGGAAACTCACTCCTCCTCCTCCTCCACTTTACCATCCTTCTCATCCTCTTTCTCCTCCTCCTCCTCCAGAGACAAAGAGATTGACTTGGTCAAGGGTGGAGGGGCGGGTACAGTGACACAGTAGGGCAGGGCTAGTCTCCACCAGAGCACAGGGAGGAGGGAGAAAAGAGGGGAGGGGGTCTGTGATGCACACAGAGGAGTGGGGAGGCCCCTCCCAGTCGGTTCACTCAACTCCCATCACCCAGCCTGAGGAGGGGGCCATAGTGCTTGGAGGGCCCAGGGCTGAGCCAGGTCCCAGTTTCCTGA